TGGCTGATGGAGAATCTAGGTACAGCAAGAGAGTGTGGTGAGAGATACGGATTTTGGTTTGAGAAGCATTGTGCTTGACACCACCAAGGAACTGTCTGGTGCAAGGTAGCTCATGAATATATTGGTCTGTAACTCATTGAAGAGGCAAACAGAAACCTCTCTGAGGTGCTGAGCGTCTTCCATTTCGGAGGAGCCCTTGAGTTTAAAAAAAAGAAAGAAAGGAAGAAGAAAGCCAAAGCAGAGTTGTCAAGATTGCGTTTATTTTTAATGTTTACATTTAACAGTTAATGTAAAATAATGGACAACTTTTTATCTTTTCGGTATGTATAATGCTATTTGAAGAAAACCTCAAAAGTTTACATTTGAGAGACTGCATCATCACGAGACCTGGGTCTCCACGTGGTAACCCCCAGGCAGGAGTCTCTGGAGAGATGGAGGCTGCCTGGGAGAGCATGTGGAGGGAGAGAGGGGAGGGCAAAGGCAGAGCTCTGGAATTGAGGAGCATTTTTAAAAAGCCATAAAGGAGCCAAACAAGAGTGAGATGGAAAGGGCAGAGAGGTAGAAAGAGAACAAGGAGCGTGGGGATCACGGGTGAAACACAAGGAGAGCGCTCCCGTTTATTCTCCCACTGGATTCTCACTGGATCTAGCAAATGACTCTGTCTTGCAGATTTCCAGGTTTCAGGGCAACTTGGTAATAAAGTAGAGTCTGCATCCAGGACAGCCCAAGATCTTCCTGCTCAGACTCCATCACCAGTATCAACACAGACTGGAATACCGAGCCAAAATCACGGGAAGTACACTTATGACATAAAACCTAGAGCTCTGGCAAAGCTCTGCGCAGAACTGAAACGGGGGGAAGGCCACAGTGTGTATCACGTGTGCAGCAAAGCGCAGTACACTGAAAAGGATTATTCAAAGGAACTACTCAAACAAGTGAGCAAAGATGTGAGCATAAGATGTTCATTTCAGGTGCCTGATGGTAAACACACGTGAACAAAACATCCAGGAAGCAGCCTGAATGTTCAATTAAAAAATATGTGTTTAAATAACACAAAGTGCCATTTATGGCATTATGGTATATCTGTAAGAACAACGGGACACAGCCATTAGAAATGAAAATGACGAAAAAGAGAAACACCCATAGAGACGGGGGGTACCTGCAGGGAGAGAATGGCTGTCCACTCCGCAGATGGACAACTGCTTAGGCCGTGGGCCTGCTGCCCTCTCCCTGGGTCTGTCAGAGCAAGGAAAGGAGAACTGAAGGGAGCTGGCAGGGCAAAGAGAGGAGGCAGCATTGAAGCATTCCATCTTCCCACTGTCTGGCACAGTAAGATGCACGCATTTCCTATGTGTCAGGTGGACTACACCAGAGGGAGCTGGGTTTGAGCTCTCCAGCCAACACTCCCTCCAATAAGGCTGCCTGCTAGGTGAGAAGACTCCAGCAGCAAGTGGCAAGCTGGGGCTGGACTACCTGCTGCAGGAAGTGTCTCACAGAGCCCTCCGAAGAACTCACATCTGCTACCCAGAGGGCAGAGGGTTGAGAGAGAGCTGGAGCAGCAGTGACAACTACCAGAGACAGGCATCCAGCTAAGTAAAGAGGCGATTGCCCTTATCCCCTTCCCCTCTCCTTGTTTCCTACCCTTGGAAAGCTGAATCTAGAAGCAACAAAAAGAAGAAGTATTTCAGAACCAGTCCCCACCACACCCTTACCACTCCATGGCAGGGGGAAAAGAGCCCTGTGCAACTTCAGGTACCTGAAGCCATTTGTCAAGCCCAGTCTATAGGAAAGGGAGACAAGATTTAAATCAAGTTGAGAATCAAAACTTTAAATGAACTGAATGTTTAATAACCAAAATTGAATCTTCCTAGGTTCCACTAAGGGATGGGAAAAGGCAATTTCACAAGGCATGGCTAGACCAATGATTGACTCCACATTTATACCTTACTGCAATGAGACTTCTCAATAAATCTGTCTTTCAGAGGCCCCAGTTTCCCAGATCACCCAATATGGGCAACACTCAGACACGAAGTTATGACTTGTCAATGGGCCAAACCCAGCCAAATCTAAGCTGACCTAAAAGGAATTATGTCCCACGTCAGAGTCAGGGCTACCTTGAGCTGATTTATCCACAGAGACAGTTCCCTGAACCCCGACCCAGGACTGCCTTCCTTAGGATCCCATCCTCCACTGCCCATGATTGGCATGATCGAGGGTGATAGCAAAAGCAGGGGTAATTGGGGAACTTGGACGGTGAGACTGCTATGGAACGTGAGATTTTTGTAGAAGGTGAGTAACAGGTCTGAGCTAAGCCACCAACACTCAAATGGCACTTCTTTTGTCCTCATGTCAATTCTGTGACTTTGCCAGCCTCTCTCAGCACCTATGATTGCGCCAGGAGGTGAAGAAGGGGTGCCTGTGTTGGCAGCAGCAAGGAGGTCAAGATTCAAAGCCCACCCCTGACATCCTGTATTAGTTCCTCTTGGTGCTGTAACAAATTACCACAAATGTAGGTCTTAAGACAATACAAGTTTATTCTTTTACAGTTCCAGAGGTCAGAAATCTGAAATGCGTTTTTATAGGACTAAAATCAAGGTGTCACTACAGCCAGTGACATCTGACGACTTGAACAGAAAATCCATCCCTTACCTCTTCCAACTTCTAGAGATTGCTGCCATGTCTTAGATCCTGGCTACATTCCTCCAGTCTCTGGCTTCCATGGAGCATCTTCTATTTCCTCTGCCTCTGACTCTCCTGTGGCTCTCTTATAAGGACTGCTGTGATTGTATAATCCAGGATAGTCTCCCCATTTCAAGATTCTTAATCACATCTGCCAAGTCCTTTTTGCCACATAAGGGAATACTTACGAGTTGCAGGGATTAAGACATGGACATATCTGGGGGCTATTAGTCATCCCATCACACATCCCAAGGACATCCACACTCTCAGCCTGGCAGCTCCAGCAAATACTATGAGGATGGCAAAAGGAGCTCAAAGGTCATCTACCCAAGACCACTAGGCCTTCCATTCCCACCCTCTCTCAAAGCCCTCTGCAGGATCAGCCTTCAGCCTCAGGATCAGAAACAAAATGTTAAACAACTCTGTCCTATACTTATGCACTAACAAGACCCTGGGGACAGGACTTGAGCCAACTCAGATATTGCTTATTTTACAAGTTGTGTTTTGAAATTTTCAAAATCCTCCCTGCAGAGGAGGTCACCACAGAGTTAGAAGACCTCCCAGAACGTCTTCATCCAAATTCCTCCTGCCTTTCAAAACCGTGACCTCGAGGGACCTGTTCCAGTAGATATCTATGAACTTGGCAGTGGAGACAGTCAAATATCAAGTCATTCTTCTGAAAAGGCTATTCTATCCAGAGTCACAGGAAAGGGGACAGGACAGTTTGCCAGATAATCTGAACAGTACAGCACCTCCCCAGAGGAAAACATGGTGGAGGGCCACTCAGATATACATGAAGCCATCTTGACATGGTTGTTTAAAGAGATAATCATAAGCCAAGTGAGCAATGTCAAAACAATTTCTAAAGGCACTTGGCCAGGGAGCTACAAACCATCCTATGGCAATTAAATTAGTGAACAGATGAGGTTGTTTACTCTTCTCCTGGGCAAGAGAAAAAAAAAAGGGGGGGGGGCAAGCTGTAATTCAGGGGACCGTCAACACAGGACTCATCTTCAAGGTGTTCAGGATAAAGTTTGAAAAGCTCTCAAATATTCCAGGCCGGAAGAGAGAGTAAGAACAGTAGCTGCTATCTTCTCTGGGAAAATCAGGTCCCTAAGGAGAAGGCTGGAGCAACGGGAAGCTTCCAGGGCCTGTGAGACAGGAAGAAGGGAGGCCGCTCCAGCTGCCTGGGTGAGAGAAACAGTGAGCAACTCCAGGAATGGTCCAGAATGAGTCAGAAAAACAAGGAGCTGCCAGCTTCATACCTTATTCTGCAATTGATCACCATTATTTGTGGGCAGTGAATATAAGAGTTCACATTTTAACTGATTCAGTCAAGAAAATGTATTTGTGGCCGGGCGCAGTGGCTCACATCTGTAATCCCAGCACGTTGGGAGGTGGAGGTGGGCAGATCACTTGAGGTCAGGAGTTCGAGGCCAGTCTGGCCAACATGGCAAAACTTCATCTCTACGAGTAATACAAAAATTAGCTGGGTGTGGTGGCGTGTGCCTGTAGTCCCAGCTACTCAGAGACTGAGCACAAGAATCACTTGAACCTGGGAGGCAGAGGTTGCAGTGAGCCAAGATCGTGCCACTGCACTCCAGTGTGGGCAACAGAGTGAAACCGTGTCAAAAAGAAGAAGGAAGGAAGGGAGGGAGGGAGGGAGGGAGGGAGGGAAGGAAGATGGGGAGGGAAGGAAGGTGAGGAGGAAGGAAGGAGGGAAGGAAAAAAAAAGAAAGAAAATCTATTTGTTATTAATGCCTCAGCCTCACAAATCTATTAGTTTTCTACCAACCACCTGGTGGCAGCACTTACGAAGCAAGAGTAGACGCTACAGAACACCTTAAGACCCACCCAAACACCAGCTTTGAGACAGGCGGCTTTGAGTCAAACCCACGCTGACTCTAGGGAAAAAAAAAAAAAAAGAGTGTCCAAGCCATGGACAGGGTCCCAGGGCTGACCTACCACGTTTCATCAGAACCATCTCTCAGGGCTTATGGTGAGACTGCCGTAGCCACGCCCACCCACACCTCGCGGAGATCAGGCTCGCCACGGCTGATACCTCTTGAGCGTCCCCTACAGGCTCCACAACGGAAAATACAGGCACTGCACTTGCTTCAAGCTTCTAAGGCTGACAAGCAGCAGCAACCGCAGAATGCTGACTTTTATTGTACGCTTACTACGTGCCAGACGCCGTTTGGTTTGCTTTTTCACTTTCTTCCACTTCGCAATGGATTAACTCCTCCAAACAATTCTGAGGTCTATACTAATATTATCAAGTCTGTAAAGATGAGAAAACTGAGATGCGATGCAGAGATGTTTGTGTGACACAGTGATGAAGCAGTAGAGCTGGGATTCGAACAGTGGGTGGCGTGAGTGATGAAGACCGCTGGTCTGAAATCTCCTTCTATGACCTTCTATGCACACTGCCTCGATACATGGAAACAGCACTGCCACAGGCATACAGATATGGAAAAATCCAAAAGAGGTCAGTGAGTGATTCAAGCTGGGCAAACACTGTCCTTGGCCAAAGGTCAACAGACTGCCTCAAAGCACATTTAAATTTTACAGGGTGAAAGAAGACCAAATGAAACTCTGCGCCTTGAAGGCTTAGCCCCATTTGATCAGGAACAGATCTCTGAAGCTCTCAAAGCCTGTTTCAGATCTGCTGATGAGACAGAAACAAGTCTCTACCCTTCACTTCAACAGTCGTCTCACTAGCCAGAGAACCTGAAAATCATCCTGAAAAGACTTTCTAACAAAAGAGCTCTATTAATATGATTATGGAATAGCATCAATAAAATGGGATAATGGGGAGAAGATGCACCTTGCTGACCAGTTCTTTGTATGTCACAATTCACAGGGCATTGGAGCTGAAAGAGGCCTTACAGACACTAAGTCCAAGAAAGTGAAACAAGAGGCAGAGAAATTTGGTTCATTTATCTCAGGGTATATATCTTGATTCATGCATGCATACTTACTTAACAGACATTTAAACCCTTAAATGACAAGTCCCTTGCTAAACCCTGAGTGTACTCAGGCCACCAAGCCATGTATCTGAGAAGTTATGTCTGCAGGGAGGGATTGTTCTAGTTCACACAAGACACTGTATGGGGCTAGCTGCAGCCCTTGGGACACAATACTATGATGCGCCCTGCCTTTAGATCTGGCGCTGCAAACTGCTTGGCTGAATCCAGGCTGCAAACATATTTATCTGCCTTTCAATGCTTTAAAAACTGGGAAATTTGGTAAGAAATCGAGACGATTCAGCTATTTTGAAAAATAAGACCTGGCAATCCTAGTCTTGCGTCTCCACTTAGTAACGATCTGATAGAATTGAGTAGAGGTTGCTCTTAATAGATGGAGTAGGCGTTCTGCACTTTGTCACTGTCTCCATTACTCCCTAATGTCTCTTAGGCCATGCTAGCCTCGCTCCTTTGTTTTAGTCTATCCCATAGACAAATAAAGATACACTGCATGAGCCGGGTCCTCCTAGGTTGGTTGGAAAAGACAGCAGAAGTCTAAAGAGAGGAGTGCAGGATAAGACAGTAGGATATGTGATGATAGACGTAAACTCAGAATATTTATTTAGTGGCTTAGCTGGGGCCAGAATCTGGCTCTGCCCATTAATCTGTCCTAGTCTCCAGCAACCCAGCCTCTACTGGGCACATGCAGACAGCCATTCTAGTCTGAAATGAGAGAGTCCATCACAGCCCCAGGTCATCACTGGCGCATGGGATCCACCGTGCTAGTAAGGGCCTGTTCAAGATTCAGAAAGAACCCAAAGGATCTGGAGAATCTCTTATAGCTAAACCAACGAGAAACACCACTGGCTGGAGGTAGGAAAGAAAGTTTGGTTCTCTGGTATAGTGATAACACTAACCATGTCACATCTTAGGTAGTCTAGAATAATGCTTCTAAGTAAGCAGAGGGATGTCCACCATTTCCCTTCCCCTCCCTATGACCTTACCTGCAGGAGGGTACAGTGCATGAAGATCATCCCTATCAGCAGCCACCAGGGGCTCGTCCAGGAAGCCATGGGGTCTGGTCTCCTGCAGGTCTCAGTTGTAGCCTACAGAAGAGGAAACAGTTGATCACTAACCAGCTCTGGCCCCCATGGCAGTAACCATGACTTAAGAGACCCATTAGATGGGGGGACCCTGAAGGCCAGACACTGTTGTGGAAAGGTTTGTGTTGGCCAAGGACAGGGCTGCCCACTGCAGGGTGAGGGTAACTGGGCTCCCTTTAGGAGGTCCACATCAAGGTCAGGCGAGGGCTGGACCTGTCTCAGTGGGCAACTCATACCTCCAACCCTTCAGCAGCTGAGGCATCCCCGCCCCAGCCACCTCCAAGCCCATCTGTCAGCAGCAGGGTGTGGCTATTGGCATTTGACTCAGGAAGCCAGCACAGAGCCAAGGTTTAGGCCAGCTTCTGCTACTCACGGCAAAAATGAGTCTAAGACAATGAACGCAGCTCAGAGAGGGAAAGGACCTGCCTAAGGTCACACAGCAAGATAGTGATATTTTAGGACTGGAACGCAGATCTTCTGGTAGTTCAAGGCTTTCCTCGCTAGATGACACCGTGCGTGCGCCCTCGAAGTCCCGCCCCCACAACCAGAGAGATGCCTGAGAGCTAGGTTCAGGGAGGTTTGGAGGACAGCCCCCGGGCCAGCCTAACACAATCTCCTAAAAGTAGGTGAGGGCTCGCCAGCAGAGGTCAGCTGAAACCAGGAGGGAAGCAAGGTCTTTTTCCCTCACTTTTCCTGTCAATTACAGGGAAATCAGTATGAGTTGAGATTGGAAAAGCCGAGGTCACACTCGACTCTCGCTTCGCCTGGCGGGCGCCTTGGCAGAGCTGGTGTCCGGGGGCGGGTCGGTGGCTTCTCTCCATCTGGAGAAAGCATTAAGGGCCTGGCCTAATGCGATCCGCAAATGTGCTGCTGTTTCCGACCTGAGGCGGCGACTCCCGGCTGGAGGGAGGCGGCCAGTGCGGGGCCCTGGGACCTTACGCCCCCCTCGCCCACTCGCACCAGCCTTCCTAGCTCACACTCCTCCGACTACCCGCTGCCTCGAAGTCACTCCTCCAGCGCCCCGCCGCCTCCCGGCCGTGCCCACGCCCACTTTCCGCGAGCACGCGTCGCCTCAAACCCCGGCGCCTGGGCGATCGTTACCCAGTGGCCAACCGGCCGGACCTTCGGACGCGCGAGGTTTCTGCTAGTAAGTTCCAATCCTGAAAAACTCCAACCCTGTGGAGTTCCCCCGTAATCAAGAATGCCCCTCAGCCAGCGAAGTGCCCCCGAAACACTCTCCGTGAATCTCCCAGCACGCCACGGAGAGCGCCCGACCCGAGGTGCCCAGCAGTGAGGAGCATCCCAGTCCTGAGGCCAATGGGCACGCCCCGACTCTGCTTGCAGTCCCCCGACTTGCTTAGAGAGGCCGCTGGTCCGAGTCTTGCTTCCCCTGGGGACGCCTTTCCCGGACCCCTGGCGGGGCCGCCCTGCGCCGAGCTAGGTGCACCCACCTTGCGCCGCAGAAGTGTCTGGACTTGCAGCCCCGGGCCGCGCGGGCTCGGCGCGCGCTGCGGAGAGGCTGGCAGCAGCCGCCCGTCAACACCTCGTGTGGAATCCGGGACCAGGACCTTCCCCGACGCCGGCCTCCAGCCCGCGGCGCCGCAGTAGTCGCCGCCGCCGCGAAGTTAAATGGGGCTGGGACGGGGGCTGCCCCGCCTCTCCCGCCCCCTCGGGCGCGCAGAGCGTTGCACTGGCCCCGACCCAGAGGCGGAGGGCGCGCGCCGCCACCTGCACCGCCCGGCAAGTGCACGGCGTGCCCAGGCGCCCTTCCGCCTGCGCGCGGGCACCGCGCCCTCAGCTCGAGCCGGAGGCACCGGAGCGCGAAGAGACCGGGTGTGGGGCCGGGCCCGGGCCGCTCCGAGCGCGCGGGGCCGCGGCGACGGCGAGACTCGGCTGGAACGCTCCTCCGCCCGCTTCCTGGAAGCCACTCCTCGCCCTGGGCCGGCCGCCAGGCCTTGTGCCAAGAGCCGGGATTGCCGACGCCGCCGACGCCGCCGCCGACAGGCGCGCTGGAGAAAGGCGGCCGCTGAGCCGCGAGCCAGCCGGGCCGCCCCGCCTTAGCCCGAGCCGGGGTAGGGATGCCGTGGCTCTCCGAAGCCCACCCCCGGCCCCACCTCCCTTAGCCTCCACCCACCCCGCCCAGACACGGGCGCCAGCTCTGCAAAGTCAGGCCCAGCAGCCACACGGAGGTTTGCCCGAACCGCCGCCTCGTGCCTAAGAGCTATAGGCGCTCCTGGCCAGGCAGGACCAAAGTCGGAGACCAGCGGCCCTCTCCTGGCCTGTGTCCCCTCCGCACAGCGCAGACCCCACACAAGAGACTGTACTCTAGACGCTCACCGCCCAGGGACCTGGGACCTTTGGCAGCCAGGGACCACAGGCGATCTTGCAGGAGCGCCTCTTAACCGGGAACCTGGCGCCCCCCCGGCTGAGCCGGTCTTGGGGAACCAAGAGGTCCACAGGTGCTAGGATCACATAGTGTCCAGACCTGGGATTTGGGGTGGGGGTAGCAGTGTCGTGGACAAGAGACTGGGGTGAGTTGCCTGTGTACTTCTGGAGGTGAAGAGAAGAGGAAATATTTGTCCCTGTCCTTGTCCTAGTCCCAGCGGGATAAGCCAAGGGCCAGGAGATTTATCTTAAAGCCTGCATTATGCCCCCACCTAAGTTTTACTACAGTCGTCATTTCCTTGGGTGTCTGTTGAGTACCAAGCTCTTTGTGTGCATCTGACCTTCACAGCGGCAGTAGTTTGTAGCATTAGCCCATTTCACCTAGGATAAGTCTGAGGCTGGGAGGATAACTTGCACCATGAGTGGAGAAGCCAGGACTGGAACCCCTATCTGCTCCTCTCCCTATCTGTTCACCCCTAAAGTTGCTCTCCTGCCTTCTCTGTGGCTGGTGCACTCCAGTTACTGTTAGAGCTATGCCAAGAGCAGTTAGCCCTGCCTGCTTTCCGCAGGCGTTCTTCCCTACCTTACTCTGGTGACTTCCTCTGGCCAAGAAGAGGATCTTCAAGGCTGTCTCCCCACTCTGTGTAAAATGATTAGACTTGTAGCAAGTGAGCAGAGGACAGGTCAGCGTGGAGACAGGGGAGGGAGGAGTAGCTAGTGAAGGGTAGGGAGGGCTGGGCTAAACTACAACTAGCTCACCTGTGGACAATCGATCCTCTTTATTCACCATAGCTGTGGTCTATAAAGTCACAGAACAATGAATTTGTGAATATGGAGCCGTTGTTCCTAGGAGAAATACAGAGTTGGGTTCCTGCAAGCTTCTGGTCACAATATTTTGGTCAATCAGTCAACACATTGCCTTATTTTATGCATGTTTCTGTTTAAAGACACCTTATTGAACATCTATTATTGATTCCTGAACGCTGAGCTCACAGCCCACAGTGCTGTAACTCATGCCTGAATGAAGCTTATCTAACACAAAAATTTTCTCTGCAGTGCACACCCCAGCCTTCTTCAGCACTAGACTGCTAGTACACTAGACTGCACTTCAGCACTGTGCCTGGGGGTGCTTTAAGCAGCAAAATCATCAACATAAAAGACAAAAATGTGAAAACATGGCAATGAAGAGAACTTTCAGGCTACTCATTCACAGTGTGAAAGCCGCAAAAGAAGACAGAGGGTTGACTGGGCCTCCAACATGTGCCTCAGGAGACTCAGCATGTTCAGTACTGGTTGAATGACTTTGAAAGTGCCATAGCTATTGATTACAAGGTGTTAAAATAAAAACGTTAGACAAATTTGGCAAAATTGAGCAAAGAACAATTTAAAATTGGGTAGCCCCCCTCATACCACCCCAAAACAAAATGGGTTCAGAGCAACTCTGGGGCTTCCACGTGGTCAAACAATATTTATGGACAGAGAATGGAACTGAGGTACCAAAACAGCGGGATTGGTTACAGCTCGGCATTTGCCTTATTTAAACATGGTATGAACAGTCGGCCGCCTGTGATTGGCCAAAACTCTGTGACTGCTTCAAGAGTAGGTTACAGTCTGTTTACACATGGTTAGGTTACAGTTTACTAAGTACAGAGAGACCTTTAGGCCAACCTTAAAATATGTCAGAAGGCAGCTTTAGGCTAAATTTAACTGAACAAGGATGACAAATTTTAGCAAGTAGCTGAATTCGCAATCGGCAATCTGTAAATAATGAGAACTGATTTTTCGTGCTTCTCATATCACTGCATCAGTAAAGAAACACTAGGTAAAGGAACGGCCATATCAACATTTCAAAACACTTAGGATGCGCAGGCACCGTTCCAGATATTTTGCTTGTACCTAGTCATCGCAGTAGCCTATGGGGTAGATATTATTTTTATTCCCATTTTGCAAATGAGGAAACAAGTGGAAAGGTTTAAAAAACACATGTTTTTAGCAACTAGATGATACCACTCCTCACATCATATTCTAAAACCAGCCCTGCCATATCATAGAGTCAAATGCAAAAAAGTCACATGAATATGCAAGATGAAATGGAGAATTCAAAGAAATATTGCGCTCGTGCAGTGGCGGCTGCATTAAGTGGAGCTCCCGGTGTCTGCAACTCAGGAAGGCACTGAGAATACTTCTGGAGTTGGGGGACTTTGTTGGGAACATCTGAGATGCACTTCTCTACTTTAAGGTATTAACGGCTCAGCAGGACTTCCTGTCTCATTTCCCTTGGGCAATCTGATTCCTGAGCCAGCCTCCAAGGAATGCTAGCCCTACACCAAGTGCTAAGACCAGGACTGAGCCTTTCTCTCCCACAGGTTCCATCTAGCAGGGGGCCAGCCCCCTCAA